TACTGTCAGAATTCGGGAGCTCGCTTTGAGACCCTGCCAAAACGCAGCCCAAACGCAACCCCACATGGGAGCCGGGCGATGGGAAAAGAAAAGCCGGCTGTGCTTTTGGATAAGATCGTATCTGCTACCACAGGGCCCATGGGATCCCCATCAGCGGCACTTTCCCATCCCGTCTGCCCCCAGCAGACCCGTAGGGCCCTGCCCGCATGTCCCCACCAAGGGGTCCCGCTTCGTAACGACCGTGACACCGAAAACCAGGCTTTTTTGGGACACAGGGAGAGCCGCCCATCATGTGTGGGCCCACTGACGAGAGCTGAAGCGTCTCTCAGGATGTTGAGTCTGGCTCCCAGGATGCTCGCAAGCGCCCGGACTTTACTGCTCTGTCTTTTCTCTGTCTTAAAACCCAGGCAGCCTGGCTCAGCTGCAGCCCGTGGTTATTTTCTTTTTCCTTGGGAAAAGAAAGGGCGCACGAAGGGAAGGTAGCGTCTATTTAACTCTGTGAGCACAAAATTAGCGCTGGCTGCGCTCCCAACCTTGGCGGGGCTCGCTTCTAACGGGAACAAAATGACCTCCCCGCCATGGCGGGCTCACGCACACAGGCAGGGGACCCGAGTGTCTCGAGGGGCTCCGCGTCACGGTGCTGCTGGTGTAATACGGCTTGGACGGATGAAAAGCAACTCTTTGGTGGGGAGAGCACGGGGCAGAGTTAGGGGACTCGCTCTCCCCCCCTTCCTCACTTGGCTGCGGTGTTTCGACCCCGTATTTCTGCTGGAAGCCTCGCACGGAGACGGGGCACGGGATGTGGGCACAACCCTTGGGATGAGGCACGCTGGGGCCCGTGTGCCAGGTCTCCGTTCCCAGCGATCACCCATCTCTGTGCCCACACCCCAGTGTTGTTGCGGAGGAGTGGATATCTCTGTCTAACGGTGAGGTCGGTGCTGCCTGCCCGCATCTCCAGCTCCATCCTTCCCTCTTGCCGCAGAAATCTGGGATAACTCTGGCCGCCCAGCACAGATGCCCACTGTCTCCAGCCCGGCGGCATCTCCTTCATCCCCATCTTTGGATGTCTAATTTATTGCTCTGCCACCCTTCACACCTCTACCATGAGTGCCCGGCTCCCGGAAACCGCAGTGACACCGTGTGGTCCAGGGACCCCCTGCCCCGGACCCTGCCTGCGCCGTGCTGCCTGGCCTCGGAGCCTCTGTGGGATGGGAGGGCACCTCT